ATTAAATATAATAATTGCATTGTTTTTTTCAAGAGAAACCACCGGAAAATCCCTAATATGTTTTTTTTTTTCAAAGATATGAGAAAATCACGATGGTCGATGTCCATGAAGTTTTAGATCCATTTCCATTCAGGCTAGTTTCTAGTGCTTTTTCAGGCCAATACTCAGCTTAATTTTTATATTTTCCATTTTTCGCGCGTTCTAGCAAAGAGTAAAATTGGCAACATTGCTAAATCCCTCACACATGCGCATACTTGTGATCACTGTCTGACATATAATTGCTCCTCAAGTGGTGCTGTTTTATTTAACCTCAATTCCGCGTATGGTTTATTTACTTTTATTGATGATATGAATTCTTATCTCAATTACATAAAAAAGTAGTTTTCTTTGAAAAAATATTAGTAGTTAGTAAAATTATTGTAATATTACCAATATTTTGTACATATTAATCACACAAAATGCATCATATTGTACTAAAAAGTAAAAACAGTAATTCAATGAATAATATAAATATTTGTGTTAATAAGAACAGTAAATAATTGATTTAAATAAATATATTACTAGATTCTAAAGTGTTATAATCCTATATCTATTTTATATGTACAAGGTCTTGTCAAACAATTCTATACAACTAGCAACTACCTATCATGTTAAAAAAATAAATACTTTCTAAGAATTCGGGAAAGCTACCCTTAAAACATACCTCTATTATTATTTTTAGTACCTAGGTACATTTTTTTTCTATTTCAAAGTGGTTAGTTTTCTTTTTTTACTTGAATCTGTTTTATTTTTATGACATTCACTATTTTTAAATTTTGTGTAGTTGTTTAAAATAATATTACTCATTATCAAAGAAGCAAAGGAGTAAATTTTTTTTGAGTTAGCACCACATTCACAAATTTTGTTCAAATCAATATTAAAGGTATCGGACTCTAAAGCTAATAAAGTAAGCTGCGATAATAAATTATGATGATCATTTGTTTTCAGGAACATACTTTCAAGATCTTTGTTATTAATTATATACTCGAAGATAGCACAAAGATGAAAATAAATAAACTTGGTTTCTTGAGTGGCAATACAGAGACCCCCTCTCTGCAGAGAATTAAAATATGTATGATCCGTCTGGATGCCTTTTGCTAGAACTACTAAACTTTGACATTTATCACATTTATTATTCTTCAGAACTGATCGAGCCACGTATCCACAGATGTATTCCTGCACAGAGTCATCAAAATTACTGTACAATTTTAAATAATCACTATGCAGAACAAATTTGAAATTGTTAATTTCCTGCAAACTTACACACATAACATCAAAATGTTTCGCACACACTACAGAATTTTTTGTTACCGTATAATTATCTCGTTGAATAGCTTTTAGCCATAATTTCTGTAATTCGGAAGTTTTTGGAAATGAAAATGTTGTTTGCAGTTCCTCAGTCTTCAGGGAACTCCTATAGTTGGATTTGCACCTCGGCACACAGCAGTTTCTTGGCATCTGGAACAAGTTTAAATATCTTAGATAATAATAATATCGAGACCTATACATGTGCTCTTGCACTTTGCAAAGTGGAAACAAATATTATATTGTTTTTATTTGCTTTTACCTTAACTCACCTTAATTTTTGCTCCTGTACCGATTGCAGTATTTGCTATAAATTCACAATCAAAACACAACTAATAATGGCATAACAGGTATGAACCAAATATAAACAGTAAGTAAACAATATATTGGTGTTTCTAGCCACTTTTTCGTTTGAAAATGCACCTCACTCTAGCAATAAACAATGAAAACAATACACAGAAACATATAACCTCAATAGCAAAATAGCACCATTGGCGACGTTGCCGTTATTTCCAACTTCATGGCTTGTAAGTGTAGAGGGCTGTGCCTATTATGATAGATAACAGATAGACGGAAAAATAAACAATAATATCGGTTGACTACATGCGAGAGGAACCGCATCTCTCCCCACTACTTATTAATCCTTGTTTTATTTTGTATCTTTCTCTAACACGTGGAAAGCGATTATTTTTCAATGAAAATTAACAACGCTGCAAAAAAATAAATCCCACCTCGAATTCCACCTTTCCACCAATCAGCGGCTTGTATTCAATTGTCATGTCAAAATGCGACGAGCAGGTATTTTTTGACAATTTCCATTTGTCAATATCAGTGCGCAGTGAGTGTATCCGCATCTTTTTCTAAAATTATGTAAAATATAAGGATGAAGATACACTTTTGTAGCACTGATTCTGGTTTCATTTTCAGAGTTGCCAACCTTGCGTTCGGTATTTTGCTCAAAGAGCAGAGCGGGCTGAGCGGAGCCGTAATCACGTGACCATTGAGCGAACAGAGCAGTTAAAAGCTGTATTAAAGTGCCAGAAATTTTAATAAACGAACGCTAATGAGGCTGCACCGAGTACACTTTTTAAATAAACGAACGGTAAAGTCAAGCTCGGAGAACTCGGACCAAAATAACGAACGCACGGCAAGTATGCGATAGTAAAATGGGGGCGGAGTTAGCGGAATCATTTGAATCCCTACTCCTAGCCGCTTTCACACCTCACCCCCCCTGGCCCATAAACATGTAGTTAACCAAAACAAAGCTATTTTATCAATGGGATGTTCTGTCTATCTGTGTTAATAGGTCATTGCTACCACCAAGCTCTTGTCTTGTGGAATCAGTGATGCCAACCTAGGGAATTTATCCCTAGATCCAGGGATTTTAACACTTATTAGGGATTGAGGGCAAGAATCCTAAACTCTACAGGATTGCTCAATCGGCTAAATTTGTTCACAATTGCTGTGACGTCACGCGCATGCCGGATTTTCAAGATGGCCGCTGATACGAATGATGTTTAGTTTGTGCTGACAACTATTTTATCGTAAATTCGGATTTATCTAGTGTTATAAGTGTAAATTTAAAGTTTCATTTAATGTGTGTAAGCATAAAAGACTCGCGATCAAGGACTGCGTGACGTCATTCGCATACCGCCATCTTCGATGTTTTTATGAACGTTTGTCTTATGGGATTGAGCAATCCTGTAGAGTTTACGATTCTTGGATTGAGGGGAGATTTTCCAGAAACCAGGCCAAACTAAGGATATTTTTTTGTTAGCTTTCTGCTGTGGTATTACTGGTATCTACTATTTAATTAGATTTATTACATTCTTTTTTACGCCGGTTGATGCATTGATGGAGCAGTCTATCTTTGTCTAGTTCATGGAAAATCGAAATGACTCTCTCATAATGGTGGATAATTTGTTGAACAAAAAGCCCCCCTTGTAGGTACCCCAACATTAAAGAAAACAAATTAGTTAATTGTCAATAGTGTCATTCCTATTCCTGCCAATATTTTTAATTTTCCCATTTTTTATGGCAACACAACATTGAAAATCAGGAGTCATCAAATTAAATTGCGTTCTTTAGCTACGCAGGCTACGTGAATGGGCCATATTGAAAGAAGGGGAAAACCGGGGAGGAATTTATGAGCCATTTTTGCTTGATCTAGGGATATTTTACTTTGGAGTAGGGATGTTTCACATCAGTGAGTGGGCATCACTGTGTGGAGTTGCCGTTGCGCATAACACTCGTTTTATGCCTAATCCCGCAGAAAATGAGGAGAAAGATTGGCTTGTAAACGCTGTGCCTCTATCAAAAATAAATCTTCGAGGTACCTACCCCAAAAGTTTCAATCAAATCATTCAGAAATTTAACAACTGGTGCCGTTTTTGTGCTCGGTACTCCCTTTAGAAAAGTAAATTTTGTGAAGGCGTCAACAGCCACAATTAAATAGCTATTTCCGTGCTTACTTTTCACGAACGGGGCCCTAGATGGTCTAAATGAAGTATCCATTGTTACACTTTTCTTTTCGATATTGTGTAGACTCCCAGGTACTTTACCTGAAGGCGTCTTATGATACATGCAACCGAGACAGGCTGATATGTAGTTTTTGATATAGTTCCGCATTGATGGAAACCAGTACCATATTGTCACTGCTTCTAGTGTTTTATCTACAGCAAAATGTCCTGGTGCATCATGATAATGCAAAAGTATATTCCATTTGGACGAATTATAGGGACCATCCATCGCAAGCCGAGTGGCGTTTTTCGATAAACTCTTATTATTTTTAAAAAGATATTCCTTGTGACCACGTCCGTCATTTTCATTAAATGGTACACGTGACAAAACTTGTAATGTCATATTGGCTTCACGTAGTTTTAGAACGTTTTCTAAATTAGTGAATCCATTTTTTTCGTCCGTTGACGGTATCGGAATATCATCTAAGTACGCCATAGCTGTAGTATAACGTAAAGAACCTAGAATTTTATGAATTGCCCTCTGAAAGACTGCAGGCGCATTTACGAGACCGAATGGCATAGTTACATACTCGTAATGGCGATCAGGGGTTATAAAAGCTGTCTTTTCGATAGAATTCGAGGCAACTGGCACCTGATGATATCCAGAAGCAAGATCTAAAGTAGTAAAGTATCGAGCACCTTTGAGCCAATCCAGTAAATCATCAATGCGCGGCAGACGATATTTATCCTTAATAGTTTGAGCGTTCAAAGCACGATAATCTACGCACATACGCTTTTTGCGCACCAATAGAATTGGACTGGCATAAGGAGAAGATTTCCTGATGATATTATTGTCAAGTAATTCTCGAACTATGTCTCTAACTATTTCCCGCTCAGCGAATGTTAAACGATAAGTCGATAAGTTACAAAGTTTTGACCTGAACCCAAAACCAAAAATAACAAAACCGAAAAATTACAAAAAAAAACAAGCCAAGATCGCATAATTTCTCCTTGTTTTTTTTTTCTTGCAGAACCCGCTCTTCATAGCTCGCGGCAACCCACCTTCAGTTGACCGACCCGTGGTACCATCACAGCTTGTATCATCTTCAAATTAGCTGCAATATTTACTTTCTTTTCATCAACTATGCACTCCTTCCAATCCAATTTAGACTGGTAATATGCGTTTGATACTCCGCACGGGGATTAATAACATCAAACACGTTTGGTTACTCAAATGGTACTTCAGTGTGTGACATTGAACTAGACTTTGGCGGACTAGTGACTTTGTGTTTTTTTTTTGAATGTTTGTAAGATGCAGTTTTCCGGAAAGTTTGGTGTCAGAATGTTAAGTTATTTAGCTGTAAGTAGGTACCTATATACTCACTGAATTTGAATAATGAATCCGTTGCTCTAAACATTTAGGGTCGGCTTTTTCATCAACGGTCGTAGTTAGAGGGTGTTTTAGTTTCAGTGGTTAAATAGAAATTTTATGCATGACAAACTGCTCTAGCCGGGTATTTAAAAATAATCTACTTTTAAGTAAAATAAATAAATAAGCACGTTTCGAATTTTCCACCAATAAATTTTTAAAATCCACGGTTCCTCATCAATAAACATGAGAGTTTGCACTTCCATTATAGGAATCAACCCCATTTTATAAAATATTTCTTTTTTTCTCGGTAACAGAATCGGAATTGGTTTACCAGCCCCAAATTGCAATTTGCCTAGGCTTTGTTTTTTTTTTGGCGAGGCTCCCGTATAATTTATCACATAGAATCTTCTGTTTGTTTAATAATTTTATTTTATGTGAGAATAATTTATTAACAAATTTTGCGTATATTCAGCATTATATATTATGTACAACTACAACAATATATTTGCGAAAAAAAAAAAACGAAATAGAAAATTGCTTTTCATAATTCAAATATACCCTTCAAATTATTATTGTAGTTTGGCGGTAATAGATGTGTAATAGGAAAATATGAAAACCTACACCTAAATGCCTAAAAGGTAATTTAGATTGCAAACATTTCAAGAATTTTAGAATTTCAAAGTAGGTAAAATGTTACTGTAATCATCAGGAATCAACTCATTTTAAATCTAAAAGTAATTTAGAAGTTTATATTCGGCGATTGAAATTCTGAAAATTAAAATTCACCACTAAAATTTCTTCTAAAATCCCTAGATATCAGTTTTGTGAACTACAGTTTTTGAATTTCAGTTTGCCTATCTATATCTATTTTTTTATATCCTATAATGAAAGTATTTCACTTTTAATTAATAAATTCCCACAGGAGAAATTATTCGATTATATACTTCTACCGTTAAATTAATCCATTGAAAAGCCATCATTCATTTATTTATAAACTTGATGCTATTCTGTCATCCAGTCAAAAACTTCTTTTCAGCGGTTATGAATGCGATTATAGTTACATTTATGGACACGTCATTATTTTCATCAATCAATAATGGCTGTCATAAATCCTATGTAGTTTGTATAAGATTGACTATTTAAATTTATTCTGGGTAAATTGATTGATGTGAACTGATATTTAACTTCCACCTGGATTTTGGTAGTTAAATATTGTATCCAATATTTAGGCTGAAATTGGAAGCTTCAGTAGCTTGTTTGATAGGTAAATAATTCTGTAATCGTAGTTAAATATTTCTTTTCTTATATTTGGTGATTTTAACCTGCCATTAATTAAGTGGGTATTTGAAGACGACACAATAGTGCCTAAAAAACTACCATCAGCTTCTGCCGAGCTGCTCATGGATACCATGTACTTTCTTGAGCTGCAACAGATGAACATCATTGAGAATCATCTGGGCAGAACTCTGGACCCAATTTTCGTCTACGACTTCATTGATTTCTGCATCACCCGGCCATCGAAACTTGTTTCTCCTGACGTTAGTGTCAGAACTGAGGTCAAAGTATTTGATTTTCATCGTGCCAATTACTCGGAACTTAACTACTTTTATGAGTAGGCAAACTGGTCTTTTTTGTCCTCATCAATAACCGACGTTGATACAATGATAATTCTCTTCTATGAAACCCTTTTTCAGGGTATTAGCCTTTCAGTCCCAAAGAAAACAATAAAGAGCGATAAATATCCTAAATGGTATGACAAAGGACTCCGTAAATGCATCGCGCAAAAGACTAGATCACATAAGAAATACAAGAAATCAGGACTGAAAGGTGAATATGAAGCCTACACTAAAATTCGTCGTGAGACTAAAGTCCGCATCGGTCCGCATTGACAAGTGCTACTTGTTATATGTTACCAACACTGAGCACCTGAAAGCTCAAAATGTCAAACATTTTTGGTCATTTGTCAATAATTTAAAGAGGAACTTGAACTTGCCGACGCAGATGAAGTACAAAGATGGCACAATGGACAACTCTGATTCCATTGCTGACGCATTCGCCACTCACTTTCAAGCATCTTACTCCAGCGACGATGACTTAGATATGACATCCATTGAACCTGTCCAGTTTGCTACTACCCTATCATCTCATAACTTCCAGACACAGAAAATTACAGGCAAGTTAAATCTGCTGGACATATCCAAAAAAGCAGGTCCCGACGGAATACCAGCAATATTTCTGAAAGGTTGCTCGTCTTCCTTAGCCTTACCACTTTGCATTATTTTTCAACGATCTTTGGATTGAGGCTTTTTTCCTGAAAAGTTGAAGTTTTTCCTCCTTCTTCCCATTTTCAAGTCTGGAGATAGGTGCGATATTGAGAACTACCGTGGAATATCGATACTTTCTGACATCCCAAAAGTATTCGAATCAATCTTAACCGAGGAAATATTCAGAACCTATAGACTTTACCTTATACCAGAATAACACGGATTCTTTGGCAAGCGTTCAACTGCATCCAACTTAGCAGTCTACCAGAACTTCTTAATAATCTCCGTTGAGGCTGGACACATAAGGTCGACTCTATTTACACGGAACTAGCCAAGGTTTTTGATAGCGTGCGCCATCTCCTTCTTATAAAAAAAACTATCAGATATTGGTATTTCTGGAAACTATTTAGCATGGATCAAATCATATCTTGGAGATCAAACCCAGAGGGTTGAAGTGTGTGGCTACTCCTCCCTCAATAAACGTCAAGGTCACCTCGGGTGTTCCCCAAGGATCACACATGGGACCTGGTATATTCCTGTTGTTTATCAACGATGTTTCCTCCTGCTTCCAATCCTTGAACTTTCTCCTGTATATTGATGACCTGAAATTTTATAATATTAGGAATGGAGTTACCAACCCACTGCAACCAGGTCTCGACAGACTTGCTTCTTGGTTCTCTTCAAACTTACTGAAAATCAACATATCCAAATGCTAATCAATAACATTCCACAAGAGTACGTTGCCTCACATGTCAACATATAAGATTGGTAGTGAACAAATTGATAATGTGGAATTCATCAACGACCTCGGAGTAACGTTCGATCAAAAACTGATATTCAAAATGCACATCGATAATATTGTTGTCAAAAGCTGCAGATTGAGCGAAATACCAAACACATCAACGACATACAAAGGCACTAACATGTCTTTACAACGACCTTGTACGCAGCACTCTTGAATACTGCTCCAACATCTGGTTCCCACATTATACCATCCATATTAATAGACTAGAGAACGTCCAAAACAGGTTTCTAAAATACCTACCATGTAAACACCGCTTCCCTTCATCTGGAATACCTTATGAAACCAGACTGTTACTGTGGGGTATGATGAGCCTTGAGCAGGGACGGAAACACGCCCTACTCATCATTCTTTACAAAATCCTGAATAATTGGATAGATTGCAGCACATTATTGGAATCAATATTATTTTTGGTCCCCATTAGACGAACCAGCCAACATCAACACAGAATGAATTATGGATTAACAGCTTTTGTGGACAGAACGATTTGCAATTACAACAGAAATTATAGGGAGTGTGATCTTTTAAATTGTTCCTTATCGTCGATTAATTGTTGTGTCTAAACTTTAGATTTTAATTTATATTTGCATATGTGTACTACTAGTCGAACTGTTGTTCACTGTGATTTTGTCCTATATCTTATTTTTTTTTAACCATATTTTCATGTATGTACTATTTAGAAAACTTATTGTTATTCTGTAGTGTACTGATTGAATAAATAAATAAATAAATTCTGAACACAGACTTATAGAAAAAAAAATGAATAGCTAGCATCCCCTAGCTACTTTTCAGGAAGAAACACTAAAAAAAGGGATGATGCTCAAGTTCATCACAAACAATTTTGAGGTACCTAAGTAAGACTTTCTGGATTTTAAAACCGAAATTCGGGGATATATATTACTCGGATTTTACTAGATAACAAATACTTAAACTATTCCGTTTTACGTACAAAAAAGAACTAAATTCCATTAACACATATTTATAATAAATCGATAAGTAAGCATTCTTTGTTGCCAATTCAACTAAGTTCTTATAGTTAGAAACATAGAGAACCCTATGCTTTTTTTTCATAGAAGATTTGCTACATAAAGCTGCATAGCATCTGCATCTTATTGATTCATTTATGCTAAGAATCTGGCAAACTGGACTGCAGAATCTTGAAATCCTAAATATACCTACCTATAAATTATTTAACAATAAAAATACTTCGTAATAAAAACAAACCATTAGGCTTTTAAACTAAAAAAAAAAAAATGAGAATAATTTGCGGTGTGTAAAAATTACATAATTGATGATGATGATTAAAATTTTCATTGTTTCTGCTATCTTTAGTAAATGTAGCTTATCTCACACGTTGCTTTGGCAATAGGCTGTTTTGTCTGTCTATAATTTGGTAAGCACTAAAGCGTTACATAATGTTCCTGAATTAGTGCAATCTGGAGATCTTACGCTTGGATTGACTCATCTAAAGCAACATCAAAAAATGTGTCTACACTTGTGCCACTGTATCAGAAAAAAAAATATTTATTAAAATAACCATTCAATACATTGACCATTAAAATATTGATAACCTTTCCTTTTTATTTATAGCAGAAAACAATGCCATGTGACGTGAAAGTACTGCAATCTTCCGATTCTGAATAGGTACCAGTTAAGTTTCATCTGCCTTTAAACGGAATAACGTACACTCTAGCAGGAAGCAAATAATAAATTAATCTTATAGAAGTGACAGGAATGAAGATTTTTTTGGTTTCTGTCGTTTTGCTTTTACGGGTGTGCTGTAATAATAATTACTTTCACAACAATACTTTTCTGATGAGAATAAGTCTCTGAAATCATGAGATAGATGTTTCGAAATCTTGCTGGAGATGTACAAATATACACAGATTTTGTAGGTACCTTTTTGACTATATATGATTTAT